CTCTCTCTCTCTCTCTCTCTTTCTTTCTCTCCTCAACTCCACTGTCTTCATCCGTCCCCCATTATTCATTGTCTGGTTCTTATATTCCTTTTTCGCTTGCTGTTTCTAGGCTTTACTTTTTTTCTAATCATACCTCAAATCACCCACCCCTTTGTAAAAAAAACAAACTTACCTGTTTTACCAACTTGCAGAATTTTGTTTAACGCTTTTATTCAGAAAGCAAAATAAAACATTTAATTTCATACACCCGTAAACACTTTTTTCTAACAGTTTTGCCCCGTTCCCATGTACAATACTATTATTATTTTTTTTTTTTTTTGGTGAAGCTTTTCTGTTTACATGTGTTCTTGAGCGTAGCCATCAATGGTACGGACTAGTGAAGTACACGGTTTTAATAATAACTAGATCTATCTAAATGTGCATTTCTGCCTTTCAAGATAGAAGAAAAAGATTTGTAAAAAAACAATAAAACAAATTCAATTCATTCTACAGCTCTGGAAGTGGGAGCTACACTCTTCCACTGGCGTCCTCGCCGTTTACTAAGAACAGAGAACGAAACGAATGCACATGTGAGTTAGTGTAACACACATTCACGTACACATGAAGACGTCAGACGCATTAACGAGAGATTTCTATCTCACTGTAAACATCCGTATACGCAATATGTTGACAAGTGGGGCTAAATTGTGTTTGAAATTAGGATCCTCTTCTCGTGTCCTCGCCGACTTGCAGGACTGGGTTGGAGTGCATGCTTTTCTGACTAGGCCTAGTGAGATCTGCGTGATAGATGGATTAGAAAGTCGGACTGTGGATACTTCGTTAAAGTAACGCTAGACTATGATGCTGAAAGCTCTGGTTCAACTGAACTTGGATTGTTCTGAGGAGGGGTTTTTTTCCAAGTTTTGCACCTACTTGGCTCCGTCCTATCGGGGATGGACCACAGATTTGAAAGGCCCCATTCTTAAATAACCTTTTTAAGAGACGCCAGACCCCAGGAAGAGCAAATTGCGAGAAATCGGGGTTACCCAAGGCTTGCTACAGGCATGATATTACGCAGCTGATTCACAATAAGACTCTTGTGGCCGTGGAAAACTCGACACTCGACCCCATAAACTCAGAATGCCTTCACATGTAAAAAAAAAAAATATATATATATAATATATATATTTGCAGAATTCCAATCACCGCAGTACAGTTTCTACAAAATCAGACACGTGTGAATTGCACTTAACATCTCTTTGGGGCATCTCACCCCCGGCACATCTCCCCAAGCACAATTAACTCTTTGAGGGCAGAGACGCATGTTACGCCATGTGAGGCTCAGTGTTTCGGATTTTTTTATTCTGTGTAGAAAGATAGATACGAGTTAACAAGGGTTTGTTTTATACTGAATTGCATTTAAAGACGGACGGAAGAAAGGAAGGAAAGATAGAAGGAAGAAATGGGGGAAGGAGTGGGGCGGGAGGAAAGAGGAGAAGCAGAGAAAGGGGG